GTTATTTTAAGGGAGCAAGCCAGCCACCTGTGTAGACTTCCTATCTAGTTGGTACCCTTGGGATTTTACGAACCAGTGTCTGGAGACAATTGGTGATATGGCTAGCTGAAAATCGTTCTCAGTGATGGTCGCCTGGCGCAGATGCATTCACTCTCTATGATTTATAATATCCAATGAAACTCCACTGTTGTTCTTTCACATTACTATAGTTTTTGCCTCACTCACACTTCTGCTTATTATCTCTCTCTCTCTGTTTTGAATATCTTTTTACTGCCTTCTGTTGGTTTGTGTGGTATATGGAGAAGGAAGTGTGGCAACTTCAACTGATGTGTTGGTGGCACAGCGGTTAGGACTCTCGCCGACCATGCACATGGTCCGAGGTTCGATCCCTTGCCGACGCACACCTGATATCTATGGTCGGCCTGCTAAATTTGGGCTACCGATATTACATGCTGAAAATTCCATACTTGTACCAAAATACTGTGTGGAATCAAGCTATAATAAAATATTTTTTTAATATTTAAATATCTGTGCAAAGTCCTATGTTGGAACTAGTCAGTCAGTCATAGTCCATGCAGAATAACATGGTACTGCATTGACTCCATGTCAGATGCATACAGCCTAAAGAAATTATTAAGTTTCTGTACAGAACAGTTATAACATACTTTCAAATGTTACATGGTGTCAGTCAATGACAGGAGACTTCAAACTTAGTAAATAGTGTTCAGAGGGTTTAAGTCCCACCAAAAAATAAACAAATGCTTGAATACAACAGCATTACCATTATCAAACATCTCGTCGATATGCGTCATGAGATGGACATTATGAAATCCTTCACAGTTATCAATAGATAAAATAGTTCAAGTCTCCTCAAGTTTGCCGAAGCAATCTCTATCAAGTGCTTGAAAACTGATTTATGTGTTCAGAAACAAGCAGTTATCATCAGTCTTCCCTTTCCCTGGTAACTGGATACCTTAACACTCTCTCACTGGCTCTATCTCTGGCTCCGATCTCTCCACCCTTTGGTATAATGTAATTATGCTTGTCTCTTGTTCCCATGATATGAGTTGAACTCACTACATTGTTATTTAGTTTATTAGTTACTGATCATCTTATTCACGTTTTGTCTTTATTACGCAACTCTTTTGCCATTGTATCCAAGCCTTTATTTGTTTCTTTTCTGTTGAAACTTGAACTTTATGTGTACAAGCTGTATAAGCGTATTTAGTTTCTGAGCACACTCTTCATTAAGGTTGGAGTCTCCTGTCATTCATGAATTGACCTTTTGTAACATCTGCAAGTATGTTGAAATTGTCCCATATATAAACATAGTAGTTGCTTCAGACTGCACGTAGCGTAGCTGATGAGACGTCAACGAAATAAGCAATGATGGTAGTATCTTCTTATTCGGCACAAACCGTCTTGTGTTTTGATTTCCCTATGTCATTGAATCCTATTTGAACTGGCTGAACGGGGAATAATCAGCTTGGTCTGCTTACATGAAGGTCCTGGGTTCTATCTATAAAGTGGGATTGTGGATGTGACTGCTGAAGATCCCCACAGTAAGATGACTGAAATAACTATCCAGTGCCCTCCCCCTTCTGGCTTTCAATGATGTTTCTCGCGAGCCGACATTTTCCTTGAAAAACTAGAAAGCGGAGCATTTAAATGATGCGATTGATGAACTAGAATTCTACTGTCGGCACATGGATGACCGACGCATTTTTGGTTATGAAAAACGGGAATGAAGCAAAGAACATCTTGGACAAATTTAACTATGTTCATCCTGCAATAAATTTTACCATGGAGAAAGAAAAAGACTAGTATTTCAGTTTTAGACGTCTTTATGACTACGAAAGAGGATGGTTCAATAGGAAGAAGTGTATATAGAAAACTAACATCAACTGACTGTCAGTATACTCATTTTTTCAGCTTCATACCTTTGAAATACAAACGCATTCTAATAAAGCGCTTAGCCCACCACATAGCAAGAGTAATCTGCTCTGATGTATGTCTTGACGAAGAGATTAATGTTACTAAATATTTGCTGAGTGAGGATGGTTACCCAGAAAAATTCATCGATAAGAAATGTGAATCAAAAGTCAAGGCAGGTAGGCTGAAGTACCAACCAACAGTTCTGAAAAATAGAAGGCCTTGTTCTTACAACTTCAGTTCGTCAGTGATGATAACATCAGTGAGATATTAACACAACGCCTAAGGAGCACAGTGGTAAAAAGAGCATTCAGTGTAGCTGAAGTATGCTGTGTCTTCAAAACCATCCCGATTTTACATTCTGAAGTTAAAAAAGATAAACTGACTAATTTCGCTTCTTCTTCTTCTTTCTATGTGTATCTATCATCACATTTTGACTGCTCTCGCTGTGGAGTGAGCCAGTCAGTTGCACAGACCCTACAATTATGTGTGCACTCATCGTTGGATTTCCGATGGATTTCCACCCTGCACAGAGGTTAAGTAGTAAGGGACAAACGAAATCCATTCATAGCTCTCTCTATACTGCCTCATCTCGTAGATACAGAACACAAGATTGATGTAAACAAGGCAGCTTTCAAAGTCATCTACCGTATATACCAACTAAGCTTAATTTTACCTCAAGACTTGGTCTGTTACAAACAAATATTGCTGAGGCTGACTGGCTGTTGGAATCTGCATTAAGAAGCCTAATGTGTATATCGAAAATAAGAAGTTGGTTGGTTCAGACACTTTCCTTACCGCCCCCTGGCTATCAATGAAGGTTTCAACGTTCCTTAATTTGTTGTTGTAGAGATTTCTTTCATTTTATTTGATATTCTATTTACTATTACTTTTATATGCTTATTATTAAAACTTAAGCGTCTCTCCTCAACTATCTGCAGTTCCACTGATCTCAACAAATCGATGGTATTCAAAAAAACACCAATATCGTTAATAACCATTATCTTAGAATAATATTCTGTTAAATTTAAATATATGTACATGCATATATAGTTGTAGAGCCAGAAGAAAAAATTATCGTTAGGGATATTCTTCGCTCACATTTTCTTCTCTCATTTAAGAAACAGTGTTACAGACCGGAAAAGTTGAGTGTTAGTCAGTTGTTTGAATTTTTTCAGTCAATTCCTAATGTCTCACTTAAGATAATTCACAATTCTGTTTTTTTTTTGTATTCAATCTATTTAATCTGAACGGAATATTGTTTGTTTGCTTGTTGTTACTTTTTTTGAGTTATTGTCTCTTTCTCTCCCCCCCCACCTCCACCTCTCTTTCGCAACTACACAGAATTCTCTTCACTTCGTCTGATTGATTTTAGCAAAGCAGTCAATATTTTTCCAAAGAACTGTATGTTTTTTTATCTAATAATCTGCAATTATTTATACGACTTCTTTGAGTTAGTTCTATCAGCATAGTTAGACTTTGTTCACTCTAAACATAGGGACGCATCAGTGACTTTGAGAAAGAGCCTGTATTATTATTACTACTCCATTGAAGTCCAAGTGGAAAGTGGGGGTTCAACAACACATCTATACTTTGTTCTGTTTTCTCCTGTCCTCTTCAACTGGCTGCCCACATGATTGCCAGTAGTCTGTCATCTCCTCCTCCCTCCAACTCACACGATCTCCTCCATGTCACCTTCGCATGCATCACCCACTCGCTGTCTTCAACTCACCTTCCACTTGAGTGATGGATGGCCTGCATTGAGCGTGATGTCATTCGACAGCCTCGCCATGTGCCCCATCAATCCATCTCCATTTTCTCCCACATATTTGTTGAGCAATCGGCTCTTGGTTGGTTCATTCATTCAGTGCTAGAGTTTCTTGTTGCTAATTGTTTCTGCCCGGTCGGCCTACTGGCTGGCCATTCGATCTTCAATATGGAGCCAGCCAGCCAGCCACCGAATTGGGCAGCTGTAGCCTGTTGGAAATGCTTTTCGTGACGCACGTGTATTGCAACTTTCTTACTCGTGTAGAAAAACTGATCTCACTGATATTTGCGTTGAACAGAATCCGAATCTTGTTGTTTAAGCTAGCTGAAACGGAGTGGAGAAGATATCCAAACTGATTTTAGAGTGATGAACGTGTGTCTTGCCTTTTGGATTTTGACTGGCTGGCTGGCTGGTTTTGACATCTTCATCTGTTCCGAATATCTGTGATTGAAACGATGCGGCTGCCTACACCAGATAAGTGAAGGCAGGAAGTAACCTCTTCCAACGTCATTCTCCCGTTGGTGATGATTAGTGCTGGTAGTGCTTGGCTGGTTGGTTATCTTCATCACGTCTGTCTACACCTTCTCTGTGTTTACCTGGAGTCCACCTGTCCTCACTGCCATCATCTTCTACCATTTTTTTGGTTTTCGCTTGCAAGTCTTCGAGCTTGTGTGATACTCAACGACATAAATTATTCACATACGAAATCCAGACCTTCGACAGTCTTCTCATTGGTGAGTGCGGCGTATTCCTATCTTCTCACTCGCTCACTCACTCACTCCCAACGCACAGTCTGACGCATAATGAAATCCACCACAAATCGTCGTCGTTGGTAACAGACAGCCACTTTATCTTACTCCTGTATTCATTTCGAACACCCCGCTGCGTTTTCTGTTGTAGATCACCTGACACGTGGCATTGTCATATAGTCAGTCATCTGTTAAATGAAGTTGATGAAGACTTGGCTCACTGCACGCCATAGCGTCGAAGTAGTTTCCACATCACTTCTCGGTCAATGCTGTCTGTCAAAAACTTTTCCCAGCAGTACATATGTAGGGAATATAATAAGAAATAGATTTTTCATGGAGACGACAACGAAGGGTTATGCATCGTTGGTATGCAAACACGCCAAGAATTTTCTCTAATGTCAGAAGTTACCCATCAGAGGAGATTGCCAGCTGTTCTCTAGAGGGTATTATTAACTACAGGTGGGTTAATGTTCTTTTAATTGATCTAAATATTGTAAAGTATCCCATAAATGTTACTTGTTCTTTTTATTGTTTGTTTTTTCAATATTTAGTGTTAATAATAACTCTGCATCTAAGTGTGAAAACTCAAATCACTCAGCTGAAATGTCAACAAATCCTACGGTGTTATCAAATGAACAGCCTTCAACTAATATTATTGCATCTATAACTACAAAGCCAGACATGGAAATGGTAATTGATTCAATACAACCACAAAAATTAAGCAAAATGGATACGAATACTAGTCTAGAAAACATATCATCATCACCACCTGTGAATCTTTTACCTCAGACTACAGATCAGTCTGATGAATACATGAAAAGTCTTGTCTCCCCTGTACCACCAATTAAACGTAAACGTGGTCGACCAAGAAAGTATGCATCATCTGGACAAGTCCATCATCCTTCTCTACAACATTCACGTCATATGCATCATTTCACTTCTCTGGGATCTACTGGACGATATTCCTATGTGACCAGTCAGTATTATACGCGTTCTTCGTCGACAGTTCCTATGTCAACAGTGTCACTTACGCCTGCATTATCTCTCTGTAGTAATATGAATATGACTGTCAATTCTCATCAATCCATAGTAGACTGTCAAAATGTGAATAGTCTACTCTCGCATAACTTAGAAACTAATAATAACAATAATCATAATTCTAAAAACATTGATGTATTTAGGTCGGCTACATGCAGTTCAGAGCCAAGTCCATCAGACAGTATCTTAACCAATGCATGTGTAAGTTCCAGTATGAATTACATGGAAGTAGATCGACTGAAACCACCAGGTTATGAGATCATTGGACATTCTTCTTCTTCTATATTTCCTGTAATGAATGATTCAACTGTCGGTTGTTCTCCTAACAGTGCAAAGTTAACTCAGGAAATAACTCCTGTTGACCTGTGCTCGAATCCTTCTCCGCATCTGACAGTTATAAACTCCTCACCAGGTATGAATTGTAATCCTTCAAACAACAACAACAACAATTTTCTTCCTTCACAGTCTATGATGATGGAAACATCAAATCCTGCATGGTATCCTGATGCTGCCATCAACGATAGATCATTTATACCTCCAATGTGTCATAATCCTCTTCTCTCTTCTCCCTTCTATATTGATCCAAACAGATCAGCGTGTTTCTTACCCATTTTCGAAGCGTCTGCTTCATCATCAAATTATATGAATACTCCAGTGAATAGTTTGAATTCGCCGAGCGTGCGAGATGTTGATTTAATAATGGGTAGATTGTTGCCACAGGCAGGAGCAGCGATTCATGCAGCTAAAGTTGCTGGTCTCTCTGGACCGCATTCGTGGAATCCGAATGTTGTAGCTAGTTTCATTGCTACACTGCCTGGATGTAAACAGTTCGCGTGTAAATTCATTGAGAATGTAAGTATGGCATTTTATTTATTTCGTCATTTATTCATTGTGATGATGAAGGGTGTTGTGTAGTTCTTTTCATATGACATACATTGTGATGTTGTCTCTCTTTGGTGTTCTTGTTGTCCCGATTCTGAAGAAGAAATTTATCTTAGTGACACATTGATTAACACATGTACACACATACACACACACTAGCAGACTTCTGATATTTGTCGAGTAGCGGACTTTGTGGTGCGTCGATTGTTCAAGGGTGTTGAAGCGTGCTCACCGACCACGCCTCGCCTCATATGGTCGGGATTCGATTCACAACCAATGCACTCCTAAATTTCGCTTAGCTAGTTATAGGCGGTCCGGTGAAGATGCAAGGTTGGTCATGAGCCTAGAACCCCCATCCTTTGGAAAAAATAAACACCACTGCTATCCAAACTTCGTAGTTGAAGTTTGAAGTTCTGTGCTCTGCTCAGAATGCGAAGTGGCAAGCAAGAACTGGACTTTCAGTATGCATAGATTTTGATCATGATGGTGTTCAAAGCGTTTTCTCCATACTGTTGTGTAACTGTGCCATTTGTCTTGCTGGCTTGATTTATTATGCATGCGTATTAAATGATTTTGTTGTGCATGGTTGGGAGTTATGCAACGGCTGGATTTGGACTGATTTTTTGAGGTATGATAGCTAGTTGGACGCCCAACCTTCCTATTTTCCCCCGAACTTATGACTGGCTAGAACATTACCGATGTTAATCTGTCAATGGGAGAAATTTGAAAGAGGTCAGTTCCTTCGACTATCTAGCTAGGCAACATCCTTTCAACTGCCGGCAGTTGGCACAGATGAAGATGTGAGAGACAGGATGAAATCAGTCTGGGAATCTTCTACACTCACCCTCATGTGAAGTCAGTTAATGCTTCTATCTGGTTCAGAAACTTGGTTTGGATGTCACGGGAAGTATTTCCAATAGTCGAGCACAGACTCTTATCAACAGCTGCCTCCTTCGCTGGCTGGCTCCATACTGAAGACCGGATGATTGGTGGAAGGAATCAGAAACAAGAAACTCTGGGAACGAAACCAATCAAGAACCTAATACTAGAGCAACAAATATGTCGAATGAAATGGAGATGGATTGGACACACACTGAGGAAGAGGCCCTCGAATGACATCTCGCGCTAGACAGGTGATTTCTCAAGTTGAACGCAAATGGGAAACGACTAGTTGACTGGCGCTCCGAGCGTGTCATGGAGGAGATCTTGTGGAGGGGACAGGTGAAAGTTTATTAGATATCGCGGGGCCAGTTGAAGAGGACTGCAGAGAATAGGGTAAATTGGAGATATGCTGTTGAAGTCTCTCGTTTCACCCGGAACCCTAGAGAATAATGACAGTAATATCCTAATAGCCTAATTTTATTGTTATTATTATCCTCTTGGGTTAGCACTAGAACATACGGTTTCAGTAGCCCACCTACATCTACATTTCATTCTCTTCTGTGCAGTTTTCTTTTATCTGGTTTCACAACTGTTCATAACTCTTCCTTTTGCTTCTCACACACAATGTCTCATCCTCAAATCCACGCCCAACGGGTCGATATCCATTCGATTTCCGTCCTAGAACCTGACACTTGATGTTACTCAGAGGTCTCCTTTGAGTGTATATTCAATCCACCTGTACTTCTTTCACTGTATATGTTTGTTTGACTATAGGTTTGACTGGTTAGGTGCTTGACAGAGTTCCTTGTCGTCACTTCTTTCTAGCCATCTAAAATAGATATATCTGGACTTCACCGATGATATATATATGTCTCATTTAATACAAACTGGAAGATATGCAAGTGAAAAGCAACAAGTTGTCAGAAGAGGCATCCAGAGAAGACAGGCCTTCAGAAGAATATGGAGAAAACAGATGTGGTGATGATGAACGTTCCTGCCCGCCAACAGCAACAGCAATAGCAAAAACAACAGACAACACTTAGCATAAATGGGAGAAGTGTGAAAGAAGAAGCCTCCTTTACCTACCTACTTACCTACCTACCTGGCAAGCATCGTTCCAACTACAGGCGGAGGGAATTGATGAGGATATCATCAAAGCGAGGATCGGGAAAGCAAGACAAGCCATTATTACTCTCAAGTCTGTGTGGAGATCAACAGCACTCCTCAGCATGAAGAATAAGATCCGGATTTTTAACTGCAATGTGAAGTCAGTGCTACTACACGAATCAGAGACTTGGCGCCGCGCCACGTCGCGTCACCAAGGGTATTTAGAATAAACTACAGACGCTCCATCATTAAAAGTTGTCTTCACTCAATACTTCGGTCAAGATCAGATTGCGGGCCAGAAAATATCAGCAGCAAGGACCTCTGGCAATGAACAGACGTATCAACCCAACCCAGTAGGAACGGATTGTGCAAAAAATATGCAGGAAACAGTGGAGATGGATTGGATTGGCCGTGCTCTGAGAAGAATCCATCAAGTGATTGACACCACATGCCAAACTCTCTCTCTCGAGTGGAACCCGAATGGGAAGCGGTGAGTTAGTCGTTAATGCGAGGGTAACATGGAGGAGGATAAGGTGATGCGAAGAGGAGATGAAAGCATGTGTGCAGACTTGGAGTCAGGTGATACTCTTGCCAGAGAACTGAACGCAATGGAGACGTGCGACTGTGGCTTATGTTCCCCTAGGAATTAAAAGAAACAATAATAATAGTATTAAAATAGGTACATGTTAGTAAATCAATCCACTTGTGCTTGAAATTATTATATATCAATTTATTGATTTTGTAATGATCTTTTTCGATATATGTGTAAATATATAAACGAGGTAGATTGTGTCCATGGTGAATCAATAGAATTATTTGTTTATCTTTCTATTCAGAAATTTGGGTGTTTCTCATAAACACATAAGGGTGTCTTATTAAGCTTTAAATACATTTCAACTCTCATCTAATACATTTGTTGTTGTTCTTGTTGTATATATATATATATATATATATATATATATATACATGCGTGTGTGATATTATGGGAAAATTCCCCAGTTTGGTGTGCACTTGTGCGTGTGTACGCCCATTTAAAGTATATTATGAAAATTAAATACAGTTATATTTCATCATCACACCACCAAATTAAAAACTACCAATATACGTGTATATTGGGACCATAGGGTGAACTTAATCGTCAACCTCCCTAATATACGACACCCTTGGGTTTCAAGTGTTGGTTTGCAGGGATTTGATTGGCAACAGGTTCGACTACGAGCATCAGGTGACAGTTGATGCTTATGTATCGGATCGCAGTGACTTGCCTTGTAACAGGAAGCTCTTGTGTGTTCAGTTCCCAGTGACTGCGTATTGCTGAAGAGTGCCAACCACTGGAACGATAGAAACAGCTGTCTAGCAGTGTATACTCCCTACTGGTTTTGTTCCAATGGTTCTCTAACTGATGTTAACTGGTAATCAAAACCTGTAACATGTGGTTTTAATGAATATTGTACATTGTGTTGTGCATTAATTATCTCTGTTCTCTAATTTCCTACTGAAATTTATCATCGATGTACTTCTGAAAGTCAAATTTTCTTTTATTTTCGATATTTATCTTTCCTCATGCGCTTCTGTGAAAATTATGAATAATTCAAATATGGCGAAGATGTTGCAGCTCAGGTTAGATGGATTATATTGTGCAATAGTTGTGTTGTTCCCTCTGAGTCGGACAATTTTATTCTCTCCAAGGTTTGAATATATATCTCTGTCTAGACACAATATTGCTTCAGCTTGGATTTCAGTGATGAAATCAGCTTCAAGAATCCTCCTTGCGTGTTTATCACAACCCTCTCTTCTGGAGGAGACTTTCTCACTCCCTTGTTCCACTTTTAGTGGTACTGATTAATTTGTTGACCTGTTTGATAGACAGATGGACCTATTGCCCAAGTAGCCTTCGTTCTTTGTAAGGCTGACGAGCTATGTCGATGTGCCTGTTGATTGTAGATGTCAGCTGACGATAAAATCCTCCAACCGATCAAACAAAATCCTTACAAAACGAATGCTTCAAAGTTGATCTGATGCTCACTATCGTCTGGCCTTATTCAGGTAGGTAGTTACCTGGGGTTCTGGTGAGAAGCCGAGAACCAGTAGAGTACAGCAGGCTGAAGGTGACGCAGTAACTCATCGAGGAAGACATTACGAAGTGGTCACACTATGTTATGAATTGGTAGAAGGTAGAATTCATGTACTGGCAATTGGATGGGGTTCCAGGAGCTGAATGGTCTAAGAGCTTGCCTTGTAACCAGAAGGTCCTGGGTTTGAACCTAAGCAGGGTGGGTGCGTACTGATGAAGAGTCCAAAACTGGGCTGACGAAACAGCTGTCTGCCCAGCACTCCTAGGTGGCTTTCCAATGGTTCTGTAACTGATTTCAGCTCATGATGAATTCCTCCAACCAATTAAACAAAATGACTACCAAACAATACTTGAAGATTCCAGATTTTTCTGAGCACTAAGCTTCTGAAGTATTCCTTGATATTTAAGGAAAAATATCTTCCAGTCGAATTGGTGTCTGTAGTTATCCTCAGATACTGATCCGAGGGAATAGATATTATAACGTTCAGAACAGTTGGTTTATATTTGTGCTTATAAAGATGAAGAGGACATCCGTAGTGATCAATTCTGCCCCGTGTCAATGTGTTTGTTCAATGGTAGAATTTGTTTGGGATAGGTGTGCGTCTGTGTGTTCTATATTCGCTGTCTGACCAAAAATAATCCGTACACTTAGTTGATATACCTGTTAACGATTTCATGAAATTGAAAGTACTGCGTCCCACTACATCTGGGATTTCAATTATTTCGAGTCAGCCATATATATATATATATATATATATATATATATATATGTATTGCTATGCTTCAAGAACACTGACAAACTAATAATTAGAATATAAATAAAAAATCCTCATAGTGAAATCAGAACAGGATGATTTTGTGAGCGAACAATTGTGCTATCGATGACAGCGTCTTCTTCAGACTCTAC